TTCCCTTTATCGTCAGGGTCAAGGCTTTGGAGGTAGCCATAGGGGCCATTCTGTCCCAGCGCCAGCCTGATACCAGGAAGACATATCACTGTGCCTTCATCTCGAAGAAGCTCACCCCTGCTGAACGTAACCCTGCATTTGCTCTGCATGTATTGTATCTCTCCCTCATTTCTTGTGTCGCTCCTCAAACCAGTCTGGTATAGTCCTGCACATTCCTCCACGGAGACCTCTGGGCCTCCACCTCCCATTCCCTTAACTGAAGGTGAGGTGTTCACCGTCTGGAGCCTCCTGGACTCCGGACGCCAACAGGACCAACTCCAATACTTAGTGGACTGGGAGGGCTATGGTGGCCCAGCTCCATGAAGACCATCCCGACCGCCCCCGACTCTTCACATCGTGCCCAAAACTGCTTCTGCCCAATGATCCTGTGTCCATTCGCCTGTTCCCGACCACCCCAGCTTCCAACCCAGTCCTTGATATGCGACTGCCGACTCTGTCCGTTTTCCCAATATTAAGATTAAAACCTCTTGCATAGTTCTCCGTGTCTGCGAGCATGTGTTTATAACAGTTATGATTTATCAGCTCTCTACTGATGTCAAATTGTACGCAAGTTGGATTAACCTCCCCATAGCATTTAGGACACCTTATATAAAAAAACACATAAGCTAGAAATATACTACTAATATATACAAAAGAACACATACAAAATAAATTAAAAGAAAGTGTGAATTTACTTACGGGTGTCTGTTGCCTTTTTCTGTTAGTGTTTACCACTTACTTAAGTCGAGAACTGCCTGTACTGTACGTCCAAAGAAGTCTATGGTGTGTACTATCCAAAACAGACAACCTTGGGTGTTATGGATCTGGGCAGATTTGGCGCGAGACAGAGGCATGATACAGGCAGAAATGTGGACGACCCACTTGCGGCTCAAAGAGACAAATGGGGTTTATTAACTGAACTAAAAACACAAACAAAAATAAACCTCAAGGGGTCAGAACATACATCTAACAGCAAATCTATAACAATACAATCACAATCAACGGACCACTGGGGAACTGACCAGAAGCAGGGACTTAAATACTGAAACTAAAACTGGGGAACAAGACTAACACAGGACAGGTGAGACTAATTAACAAAGACTGGGAAAACAGGTCATAGGTGAAACTAATTAACTCAGGGAACTAAAACAGGGAAACTAAGAACTAAGCAAGAAACAGGGAAACAGAATATATCACTGGGGAATTACAGACAGGTAAAAACACAAGCAGAGACACAAGGAACAAAACCAAAACCACATACAAATCAGAAGACACAGAAACTAGAAAAACTCATACAATGAAACACTAGGGAACAAAATACAAAAACAGAAGAGGTGGGATTTGAACACGTGACGAAAGGGATTTGCAGGTAGCCACATGAGTCATGCGGCTGACTGGAAACAGGGGAAACAAAGACTGACAGGAGGGACAGTGATCTCTGCTGCCCAAACGGGGAAGGGACACAGATGACTGAGACAACAGGAGCTGACCCTGACACTTGGGTATAACTGGCCTCATTGTCCCTCCGACCTACAGCCTTTCATGTCACACAGTAAAATACAAACACACAGCAATAACCAGGTGAATAAGGCCAACCTCAGGAAAAGATCTGGTCAGGAGATTTACATCAGCCGGATTTACATAAACCAAGAGCTGTCTATATTCATGCAGCATTCAGAAAACATCCCTGTAAGAGGAGTGGGTGGGTGTTCTTTTACCAGTTGGACTTTTCTCTTACTCGAGTACATTTGTCCAGCTCTTGATGCCTGATCCTACACATTTTGTCCGTTTCGAATCCCTTCTCACAAAGCGACTCTTTCATTTTTGTTTCTCCTGGCTGGATTGTTAACCCCAATAACAGCCTCGCTCCTAAAGGCAGGTGTCACGGCCTGTATGCTATTATAAGGATGTAGGAGATACAAATCGACGGCCTTGTGAAATGTTCTCAGAGCCAGAGGATGTGGCTTGGGTCTCTGCCTATATGTCAAGCTCAAACGAGCTCAGAGAGTTTGAAAATTGTGTTTTTCATGCTCTGTCAAAAGAAGACATTTACTGTAGAATCTATTTCTGTCACTTCCTCTGAAGAATTTCAAGTGTGTTTCTATAACACACTTCTTATAAGGTCATGGGAAGTGGTCAGTAGTGAGGAGACCTTCACGGATCTCAGTGGATTGTGTCCATTTCTATTAATACACATATAACGTTATATGTAGTACTATATGTGCCATCTCAACAAAGATGTTGACCAGGGAGGATACTTTCCAGTTACGAGCAAAACAAAAACAAAACTTCGGTCCACATGAGTAACTCTAGTCTTTGTTCTTATGTAGGCTGTAAAGTCTTCATTTGTTGTATTAGAATCCAAACCACTGTCAATTGCCTATTAAATGTCAATCTAAAAATCATCCCTTAATTGGTTGTCTGTTGCATGTTTTTTTTTTTTTGGGAGGGGGGTGCTTGTGATTAGACAGTTGCTGGTCCAGATCCTGTNCTAAAAATCATCCCTTAATTGGTTGTCTGTTGCATGTTTTTTTTTTTTTGGGAGGGGGGTGCTTGTGATTAGACAGTTGCTGGTCCAGATCCTGTGGTCAGCAGAGTGACATCAACGTTGCACTAAACGGAAGCACTAAACTAAGTGTATGTAGCTTTGGATTAAAGTGTGAACTAGCGGTAGTGTGACTTCAGATTTCTTTAAGTCGAGAGTTATGTTACAGTATGAAAGTCGAGTCAATGTTGGCTAGTTGCTGATGACATCATTAATTAAACCAGAGTAGAAGTGAATGCTTTTCAACAAGCGGCAAACTGTATTTGTAAAACTTACTGCATATGCTGACAAAAGACAGCTTGCACACCTGTGTATCTTTTACACAGAACTGAAAGAAGTAGAAATAACAACAGGATGCAGCTCACCAGTGGCAATTTATGCAACAGTAACGCTTGTATGTTACAACTTCCATTGAAATGCAGAAGAAGAAAGACTGAAATGTCTTTATAACACTTGGGGAGGAAAACAAAACTCGCATAAGTCCCACCCTATAGATGGTTTTCGTATGACGTCACAACAGTCTGTGCACACAGTGTGTCGGCCATCTTGGAGTAATCGAAGTGATTTGTGATACGGTAGTACACCGTGCACTTTTAAAAGGGCAGGGAACATAGGGAGAAAATGGTTCATTTCTGTGCTATTGTTGGTTGTAGCAACACCGGTGGAAGGGACCAAGTGTCATTTTACAACCCGGTCTCACGAATTTTCGTGCAGCCATCACGACATAAAATCTATTTAAACGTGCTGTGATCACGTTTTCGGTCTTTTTTACGTGCTGGGGCAACGTTTCCCCTCCCTATGTGTTTTAATGGGCAGTGCCTAACACCGCCACTATGAGCGCTAACTGGTGACTAAGGGACGGGAAAGTCATGCATCCCCATGATACTATGGTGTTTTTCGTGATCCGATAACGCTTTCGATAATGTGTGGCGCGACCTTGAAAAACA